TTTGTATTCTTTTATCATCTGTCTTGGTTGATAATTATTCCTTTCAAGTTAGAAGGTTCCTATTCGGTCTGCTCTCGCTATTATACTTTTACCAATTTGGTCTGCTATTTATAAAACGAAGGGTTTAATAATAATTTTCAGAAATTTAAAAAATAAGATCATAATTACATCAAAAAAAATTATAACAACAATTCAGACAAAAAAATGACTAAAAATAAAATCAAGATTAAATATTTTGTTGTTTAAAAATAAATAATATTAGAAACAGATTTTATTTAAATTTTTGCTATTAGTTGAAAAAGATTAAATCCAAAAAAAAGCTTTCCTATAAAAATCCTGCAAAATTTCTCAATATCAAGTGAAATATGATTTAAGGAAGCTTCATACAAAAACATAAATAAAACTAAATAAAAACTAATTAAAGTAATTAAAAATACTAAAAATCCTAATAAAACTATATTAAAAATACCAACTATCATTATTTATATGAAGCCACAAAAATTTGCATTCGCATGTTTTATATTATTTTGATTAGAAAAAAAAAGTTAATTACAACAAGAATTCCAACATGAACTTCCAAATTCACCCTAAAGTAAAAATTCTTCCTATATCAAGCCTAATCTTACAAATTACTTTCAAAGCATTTGTCAAAATTGCAAACAAATTTGAAATTAAAATTAAAATTTTGTAAAACATTACAATGAGAACAAAATTTTGTATAATATAACAACAAAAACAACTAAGTCTTAATCTCAAATTAGTTGAAATCCTTTGTTTAAATCTATATAATATAACAACAAAAACAACTATATAAAATCCTTTGTTTAAATCTCAAATTAGTTGAAATTAACTATATAAAATCCTTTGTTTAATACACAGCTCTGATTAAATAAAAAAAATAATCTGATGTGTGACTGATTTTTACGTTGACGGTCAACCTAATTTAGAGAATTAGAATTACAGAGGGAAAGACTAATTAAGAAAATATCAAGCAACGAGGACCTTTAATACAAAATGATAACTGTGAAACCGTTAAGAACAGATGTCGTTGTAGTATAGTGGTGAGTATTCCCGCCTGTCACGCGGGTGACCCGGGTTCGATCCCGGGCAACGGCGGTTACAACTTTTTTGTCTTTTTATAGTTTCGTCTACAACTTCCGATTCAGCTCTTTGATCTTATCATCTTGTCTTGGTTGATAAATCCTTTCAAAGTAGAAGGTTCCATTCGTCGCGCTATTAACTTTACCAATTTGGTCTGCTAATTTATACGAAAGTTTATATTTCAGAAATTTAATTCATTTCTCAAAATTTAACTTCAGACAAAAATGCTAAATATCAGATTAATTTTGTTGTTTAAAATAATTTGAACATTTTTTTTTTTTGCTTGTTGAAAGATTATCAAGCTCTGTTGACTTATTAAGTTATATGTGTCGGGTCTATAAAAATAGAATGACGTCACTAATGCTTGAATATTTAATTTGATTATTAAAATTTATATTTCTAAAATAAATATCACATAATAAAGCACAAGTAAAATTAAAATGAAATAAAAAAAATTCGCTGCATAAAACAATGGGAAAGGACTTGAAAATCAAAAATCTATATATCCTAATTAAACATTGAAAGAGTGCTTAAGTTGTGCTTAACAAAATCTACTACAATTGATAATTCTTTAATGACCTTCGTGTCCACTCCATTTCTTGTTAACTGAGGGAAAAACAGCCATAAACCGGTAACCGCCACAAATACAATCGTCAACGCCCCGGAGACCACCGGATGCAACCGCCATCTGTCCTTGACCACCCTCTTCACCGCCACCTCAATAGCCACACATATTCCATGCAAGACAAAAAACCACGTCACCTCCCACGTAGGACTCACACGTGTTAGATAAAAATAAAGAAGCTCATGTATTAAACCCGAGACAACAAATGTCACGAAGACAGCTGGCAACGAGGCCCACACGGGCCCAATTAGACGAATCGATAGATCTCGTATTGGATTGTATACGGTCGGACGTAGAATACTCGTGACCATAAGATTCCATCTACGGCCCCAAAAGTCTTGCAGTGAGGTAGTCAGGTAAGGCTCACTGAACTGCGGCTCGAGCTCGAACCCAAAAAGGGCTCGAGCCGGAGCGGCACATATGGCTAGAACAAGCTCTAGTTCAATATAAAGGTGTAAGCAATAAAGAATCAAAATAACATAAGGGTACATGAATTGTTTATAGCTATAGCTATGAAAAATAATAGCAAAAAGAATAACTTTAATGGCTAAAAGAAATGATCTAGTGGAAACTGAGTATCGGTTAGTGTTATTTTTGGAGTTGGTGAGTTTTATAGGAAGACAAGCTAAGGAGATGAAGTGGAAAAGCTTCAATGGTGATGGTGATAAGGGGCCTTGATCAAAAGAAAAGAGGAGGAGCTTGAAATTGGCAAGCCATGTGAGGAAGAAAGCAGTTGGGCCACAGAGATGAGCAGTGGTGAGGTTAAAAGGAAGGATTATGAAGAGATAGAAGACAGGAAAGAGAGAAAGAAGCCTTAAAAAACCTTTAGGTATTCTTGATGCTATGTAGTAACAATAACTCAGACAAGTTATTGCTAAAAACCATACCTTGATGAAATTCTTGGCCTCTTCCTCCATTTCTTTCTTGCAAGTTACAGTTCTCTCTCTCTCTAGATCAGATCAGATCATTTGTTTGATAATTAATTTGTAAAGCTACAATGGGTTTGGTAGTTGTTCTTTCATTTCAATTTTGAGTCAGCTCATGTGGGGTGATTAAAAAAACATAAACCAACTGGTCCACATTGACCAAAAGTGGATGCACATATTAATTATAAAAAACCTTTTCTTTTGTTTGGTCTGTAGAAGCAACATTTCTAATCTACAAAAATAAAGAATTTTGAACCTCCTCATCAACTAAAAGCATATCCAAACTGAACAATTTTTCATTCTTTTTAAGATTAACTAGCTTCCATATCCTCTAAACTCTTAACTCTTATTAATCCATCATCTCTAGCAGTGTTAAATCCATGAAAGAAATAAATCTTTAATGCTCATCCTATTTATGAACATCTCTTTCTCGTTATAATTATAAATCTTATTCTTCGTAGAAATATAATCTCAGATGCTATCTCTATTATTATTAAATTGATGAAAAAAAATAGTAATTTATATCCATTTAATATACAAATGGAAAAAACAAATTCATAGGATGAAAGACAAACCAAAAAATTTTTAAAATAAAAATATTATTAATATTCATGAATAATAAATAAAAATAATAAATTAAAAAATATAAATGCCCTCTAAAAGTTACAAATATTTTGTTAAAGCTTACTATACATAAAAACTCAAAAATATTAAAAATAAATACTAATAATGTTATTGCATAACAACAAAACATAATAATACAAAGAAGTAAATACACTATATATAAAGATTACAAAAATTAATATTTAGACTATGTTTGACAAAATTAATTATTTTAGCGATCGTTGATCGCCCTTTGTCAACTCTTTTAGTAATATTTTATAAAATGTTATGTTAGATAGGATAATATTTTTCATAATTTACTCGCATAAGCTCTAAATACTAAACACCATTTAATTCAACATTATAAATTATCTATTCCTGCTGTCGTTGAATTATGGAAATATGTATTACAGTGATACTACTTCCGGTCAGGGCTCTTCAACAATAGGAATTAATACATATTTTTCCTCGATCATTTCAGAAAAAAAAAAATAAATAAGAGAACTTAATTTCTGCTTTACAAAATTTACCAAAATTAAATATTCTTCCACAGCCTTCTCATCCACTTTATTTCTCATTGGCTGGGGAAAAAATAGCCAAAAGGCGGTGACGGCTCCAAAAACGAGAGTCAGTGGCCCTGAAATCGCCCGGTGAAAACGCCACCTGTCCTTCAGCAATTTCTTAACGGCCACCTCGATAGCTACGCAAATTCCATGTAAGACAAAAAAACACGTCACCTCCCACGTTGGAGAAACGCGCGTGATATAAAAATACAAAATCTCGTGCATTAATCCGGAAACAGCAAATGTAGCTACGTAAGCTGGCCCCGAAGACCACCACGTGGATCCAAATAAACGAATAGATAAATGGCGTACAGGATAGTATACGGTAGGGCGTAGAATATTTGTAACCATGAGATTCCATCTACGGCCCCAAAAGTCTTGCAAGGATGTAGCCAAGCAAGGCTCATTGAACTGTGGCTCGATCTCGAACCCAAGAAGGGCTCGAGCTGGGGCTGCAGAAATGGTTAGCTCAAGTTCTATTTCTAGGTACAAATGCAAGCAATATAATACAAACATAACGTAAGGGTGCATGAAATGTCTATAGCTATAGCAATGGAATAGAATAGCCAGAAGAGATGCTTTGATTACTAAAACAAATAATCTTCTAGTAACTGGGTGTGAATCTGGAGATGGGTTTTGGTTGTTTTTGAGTTTTATGGGAAGACAAGTTAGAAATATGAAATGGAAGACATTACGTGGAGGTGGTGATAATAAAGGACCTTGATCAAAGGAGAAAAGAAGCAGCTTGAAGTTAGCAAGCCAAACGAGGAGGAAAGAAGTGAGGAGACATAAACGGAAGGAGGTGAGAATTAAAGGAAGGATTATGAAAAGGTAAAAGACAGGGAGAAGAGAGAGGAGTCTTAGAATACCTTTAGGTAATTTTGATGCTATATAGTAACAATAACATGAACATGCAGTAGCTAAAATCCATACTTTTATGAAGTTTTTCAACTCTCCTTCCAGCTCCATGTCAATGTTATTTATCTCTTCTTTCCTTTTTCCCTTTTTTCTTTTCTTCCAGTTCTATTTCAGGCTTGTATATATTTCTAATCTAGGTGTTTATTATTCGAAGATAGTGAGGTTTGAGTGACCAGAAATTCAGCTTATTATTCTCGAACGGTTGTTATTTACAATTGTAAAGTAACATTGTTATTATGATCAAACGGGAGAAAGAGGAGGGCATAAGATTGTTGTTAAAGGGAGAGAGCTCATATAGGATTGGCAGATATTTCTCTTACATGGCTTTATATATATATAATACCTTTAGCGTATTTTGCATGCATATATAAAAAAAAAAGTAAAAACAAAAATAAACATGAACAATGCAGTAAAGGAACTAAAAATCATACTATTATATAATGAAGGGGTTTTTTTTTATTTTTTCTTTCTAGACTCTCCTTCCAGCTCCATGTTCAATGTTATTTATTCTTCTTCTTTTCTCTTTTCCCTTTAATATAAATCAATATTTCATAATCCAAGTAATCATATTTCAGGACTTGAGTATTATTTCTTAAATCTACTGGTGTTTATTATATTCGAAAAGAATAGTGAGGGTTTGAAAAAAGTGACCAGAAAAATTCAAGAAAAGACTAATATTAATTATTCTCAAAGGAACGGTATGTATAATATATAACATTAGTAAAAAAGAAAAGTACATTAGATATAATTATGATACAAAACAAGGAATGAAAAAGAAAAAGAAGGAAAAGGGCAATAAAAAAAAATATAGTAATGTTTAAAAAGGGGAAGAAAGACGAAGACTCAAAAAAATAAATAGAAGATATATGGCAAGGAAAACTATAATTCTCATTACATAGGCATATAAAAATAAAAAATAAATAAAAAAAATAAAATAAATTATAAAATATAAAAATAAAATAAAAAATAAGTAGAATAAATAATAAATATATAATATTTGACAAAGCGTAACAAGAAACAACCGAAAAACAAGAAAAGATAAGATAAAAGTAATAAATATGATAAAAAAAAAAAGTGAAAGAGAGATGGAGGACAAAAAAATAATTTAAAAAAAAAAAGAAAAGGCAAAAAAAATATTATTTAAATGACTATACAAAATCCACAAACTAAAACAAAACATGCATATTTCACAGAGTATGTTAAAAAATAAGGCATAGAAACAATTTACCTAAAACAATTAAAAAACTAAAATAAATAAGAAATAAAAAAAAACACAAATGGTGGGAAAAAAAAAAAAAAAAAAAAAAAAAAAAAAAAAAAAAAAAATAAAAATAAAAAAAAAAAAAAAAACAAAAACAAAAGAAAAAAAAAAAAAAAGAAAAAAGAAATAAAAAAAAAAAAAAATAGAAAAAAAAAAAAAAATGTGATTTAATATTGGGACCAAGGTTATCAAACATATCAATCGACTAATCAATGTCCCTTCAAGATCCTGTGGCATGGGCAGCATGGTATGCCTCTAGGGACGTTCGGATTAGGAAAATACGAAGAGGCGGAAGGATCAGTGAAAATACGACCAAAAAGATGAGGATATGTATTAGCAGTCAAGACTGGAAGAAAAAAAAAAAAGATGAAACCGGAAAATATATATATATATGCACGTAACAGAAACGAAACAGAAGATAGATTGTTATTATGATAAAAAGTGGAGGATGGGGCAAAAATAATTAAAAAAGAAAGGCAAAAAATTTTAAATGCTTCTCCAACAACTAACAACTGCATATTTCACGGTTGTAAAATAGGCATGACACTTCCTAACATTAACTAATAATAAGAATAAACCAAATGGTGGTGTGTTTGTTTGGGACCAAGGTTATCAACCAATCAATCGACTTATCAAGTCCCTCAAGACCTGTGCATGGGCAGCATGGTGCCTCTAGGGACGTTCGGTTGGTGCGAGCGGGTCAGTGAATCGCAGATGGTTGTATGGTCAGCTGGGTGAACGGTGCAGAAAACCCCTCCGATGAATGGAACGGATTCGTTGTTGCTACTCTCTTCTCCAACCTGCAGATTTCAGGTTTTGCTTTTGTAATTGAGGGCCACGAAGGTGGTTTCTGTAAAGCTGTATCGGGTCTTTTTCATGGTCTGGGTTCGGCTTCTTTAACGGAAGCACTTGCATTGCGGGAAGCCCTTGCGTTGGCTGAAGATAATATGCCTGATGCAGGGAGTTCATTTACCGATTCTCAAATAGTTTGTAATGCTCTTGGTTCTTGTTTAGATGACTTATCTGAGTTTGGTTGTGTTATCAAGGATTGTCTTTTTATTCTAGCTCGTAGGACCAATATCCAGGTTAAATGGATACGTGGTCAGGCAAATGGTGGAGCTCACACCCTTGTTAGGGCCTCTTATAGCTAGAGAGGAGTTTTAGAGTATGGAATACCATCTCTGAATGTCTGTATCACTTGTATTCTAATGGTTAATGCATTCGTATTTTCCTTTCAAAAAAAAAAAAAAATCCCTCATTTTTTATTTATTTACGAGGAAAAAAATTTCAAATTTAGGTTATGAGATAATTATTATATAGACTATATTTAATAAAATTAGTTATTTTAATAATTATCCTCCATTCTTTGAGTCTTTTTAGTAACATTTTATCAAAAGCTATATCCACGTAGGTGAGATAGCGTTTTTTATAATTTGTCTCATTAAACTCTAAATACTGGTATAAACACTTTGCCACTAAACACTATAACTAATAAAGATGGAATTTTCACTTAGAACAAAACATTAAAAACAACTGTGAAAAAGAGTTTTAGTGTCTAATTCTGAAAAAAACGTCGTGGAAGAGAGCTTTAGTATCTCAAGTTTGATTAAATTATTATTTATGTGGCCATCAGTCAATTTAGGTAAAAAACTAGTACAAATTCCTGATGTTTTCTTTATGCAGATATACTCGAACGTTGTTTCAAGTTCAATCTTTACAATTTTCTGGTAATTATCCATTACTATAATATATCCTGGAAGTATGTATTATAGTAATACTCATTTTGGCTAGGGCTCTTCTATAATAAGAATTAATACAAATATTCAAGTCCTCGATCATTTGAGAAAAAATAATAAAAATTAAAGAAGAAAACTTATTTCTGCTTTACAAAATTTACCAAAATTAGATATTCTTCCACAGCCTTCTCATCCACTTTATTTTGTCATTAGCTGAGGGAAAAATAGCCAAAAGGCTGTGACGACTCCAAAAAAGAGAGTCAATGGCCCTGAAACCGCCCGGTGCAACCGCCACCTGTCCTTCACCATTTTCTTCACGGCCACCTCGATAGCCACGCTAATTCCATGTAAGACAAAAAGACACGTCGTCTCCCTCGTTGAACTAACGCGCGCGAGATAAAAATATAAAATATCCGGTGCATTACACCGGAGACAACAAATGTAGCTACGAAAGCTGGAGACGAGTACCACCACGTGGACCCAAATAAACGAATAGATAAATGGCGTATAGGATAGTATACGGTAGGGCGTAGAAAATTTGTAACCATGAGATTCCATCTACGCCCCAAAAGTCTTGTGAGGACGTAGCCAAGTAAGGCTCATTGAACTGTGGCTCGAGCTCGAACCCAAGAAGGGCTCGAGCTGGGGCTACAGAAATGGTTAGCACAAGTTCTAAATCCAAGTACAAATGCAAGCAATATAGTATTAAAATAACGTAACGGTGCATGAAGTGTCTATAGTTATATCTATGGAATAGAGTAGCAAGAAGAAAAGCTTTGATTACAAAAAAAAATGATCTTCCAGTTACTGGTTGTGAATCTGGAGATGGGTTTTGGTTGTTTTTGAGTTTTATGGGAAGACAAGTTAGAAATATGAAATGGAAGACATTACGTGGAGGTGGTGATAATAAAGGACCTTGATCAAACAGAAATGGTTAGCACAAGTTCTAAATCCAAGTACAAATGCAAGCAATATAGTATTAAAATAACGTAACGGTGCATGAAGTGTCTATAGTTATATCTATGGAATAGAGTAGCAAGAAGAAAAGCTTTGATTACAAAAAAAAATGATCTTCCAGTTACTGGTTGTGAATCTGGAGATGGGTTTTGGTTGTTTTTGAGTTTTATGGGAAGACAAGTTAGAAATATGAAATGGAAGACATTACGTGGAGGTGGTGATAATAAAGGACCTTGATCAAATGAGAAAAGAAGCAGCTTGAAGTTAGCAAGCCAAACGAGGAGAAAAGAAGTAAGGAGACATAAACGGAAGGATGTGAGCATACAGTAGCTAAAGTAGCAACAATAACATGAGCATACAGCAGCTAAAATCCAAACCTTTATGAAGTTGTTCAACTCCCCTTCAAGCTCCATGTCAGTGTTATTTATCTCTTCTTTCTTTTTTCTTGTCTCAGTTCTATTTCCATGTAAGTGTTTATTAATTGAATATACTGAGGTTTGAGTCATTCATATAGCCTGAGATGCACAAATTCAGCTTATTATTCTCAAGCGGTTGATGAATTGATGCTCTTTACAATTGTAAAATCAGTAAAAACTCACCTTTTTTCTCGAGTTTTCTAATTGAAATGAGTGGCTGAGTTTGTATTTAGATGAAGCAAACTCTCCTGGTTAATTTGGTTACCTTCATGCAGAAAATGATTAAAAGAAAACATATGGATTTCAGGAGAGAGATTTAATACTTGTATTTTATTACAAATTTAAGATTTCAAATATTATAATTTTGAAGTTCATCGATTTAAAATAATTTGAAATCCTTTACATTAATTCACTAAAAAATTTTATATATATGTTCATTTATAATTTAAATTAATAAATATTTTCATACCTAACCATAGAAATTCAAATCCATGAATCCAAGCCAATCAAGTTTAATTTGATTGGTCTTTCCACGTCTTATCGAAGATATGGTGAGTTAGAAGTCTTGAGTTATCTCTCTCACAAAGTTATCACCAATTTTGTGAATATTATGTGAAAGGAAGGCTAGACGGTCCATAACATCCATTGAGCTTCTAAGTATCAAAAGAAAATCCATGAATCCAAATATAATAACAACAGAAAAAAAAAAAAAAAAAAAAAATACAAAAAAAAAAAAAAAAAAAAAAATAGGAAATAACAAAAAATATAAAAAATAAACAAACCAAGAAAAAAAAAAAAAAAAAAAAAAAAAAAAAAAAAAAAACAAGCTCAAAGTAGCAACCTAAAATTATCTTAGGATAAAAAAGTACTTCACAGAAAAGGGAAATTATGGGTGTTTTTTTGGTAAAGGGGAGATTTTTTTTTATTATTTGATATATTGTTTTTTTATATAATAAAAAATTAGAATTATATAATGAAACAAAAAAAAAAGAGATTAAATAAAAACTAAACTATTATTAAAACAAAAACAAAAAACCTTACCCAAATCAGTGTTAGGGTAAGGTCTTATTTTTAAAACCGTGTCCCCCACCCAATTTCATTATAATATACACTACAATAAAAAAAAATAGATAAATTTAATTAGAATGTCAACTTAAAAAATTTATAAGTTTTTTCAAAAAAAAAAAAAAACTAAAAATTAATAATATCCAAAAAAAAAAAAAAAAATATAAAATAATAATAATTCATACAAAAACAAAGTAAAAACAAAATAACTCAGAGCCCTACACAATACAATTGTATATCAAACAAAAAGAATCAAAAAATTCAAAAAGAACCTAGAAAATATAATTAACTACATTTAGCCAGGCACTGACCGAGTTTGACGTGACAATAGAGAAGGGTTAATGGTGGAATCCCTGGAGCAAAGCTCCATTATCGAGTCACATTGTACCCAGGGTCGAGGTGGAATGGTCTTGGTGGCTATTTTTATAAAAAAAAAAAAAAAAGAAAAAAAAGCGAACATGACGAACGGAAAAAGGCAGGAGAAAAACAAAAAAAAAAATAAAAAAGAGAACAGAAGGAACGAGAAAAAAAAAAGTACAAGAAAGCATAAATTATAAATTACATGACCAAGATCTCATCGAATAAATCAACACAAAAATGGCATGAGATACACAAAGAGAAAAAAAAAAAAAAAAAAAAAAACAGCTCGTGCCCTAATTTCTTGTAAAAAGTACTTCCGATAGGGAATTATGGGTGTTTTTGAAGGGGAGATTTTTTTTTTTTTGTTTTGTTTTTTTTTTTTATGATTATTTGACGAGATTAAAAACTACTTTTTACCCTACCAAATCAGGTTAGGAAGGTTCTTATTTTTTAAAACCCGTGTCCCCCACCCAATTTCATTATTTTCCTCAATAAAAATGTTTTATTGATGTCCTTAAAAATTTAGTTTCAAAAAAACTAATTTAATATCCAAAAATTAATATTAATATTTCACAAGTAACATACTCAGGCCCTCCTACATTGTTTCACAAATCAAAATTCAAAGACCTAGATATTTACTCATTTAGCCAGCCTGCCGAGTTGTGACGTGCATAGGGGTAATGGGGACCTGGAGCAAAGCCCATCGAGTCAACATAGTACCCAGGTCGAGGTGGAGGTGGTGGCGGTGGCGGAGGCGGAGGCGGAGGCGGAGTCGGCATACTATCATACATGCCAGTTCTGTTCACCATGGATGGATCAGGACCAATGTTACTTATCCTAGTATGGTTCAATTCATCTAGTCGAGGTGCATATCGTTGCATTGCAGACATACCCATCCTATAGGATGAATCTGCAGCTCCACCTAAGTGACCGTAAGGAGATGACAGCGATCCCAACTGGCTATATCCTGACTCATGGCCACCCGAATAATTTCTTTGGACAGAGAACTCGGGATCTTGCCCATAATGTCGAACTTGTGACTGCATATTAGGCTCCCGCGCTAATTCGGGGATGTATCTGTAACTAATGCTCTCTGCACTCTCTCTCATGTGCCCTGCAGACGGTTCCTCCAAGTTGCCGTGAGAGTATCCATGAGTGCCATTCATGCCATATTGCCTACCCAGATAAGCAGTTCCATACGACATATGTGAACTAGAAAGACTAGACTCCATGTTTGGCATGCTATTTTCATTAACCTCTCTATGCATGGGCAATTCAGATGACGATTTAGATGGGGGATCTTCCTGTGGCGATCCAGCATTGACTGCATACTGTGGGGAACGATGAGGCACTCCCTTGCGTGAATCACTTTCAGGAGACTTTCCACCACTGCGTCTGTTATCATGTATTTTTTCACTAATTCCTCTGTCAAGGTTACCTTCACCATTGAGTGGAGAATATTGGGGTATCCCCTTCTTTTTATCTCTTCCAGGAGACTTGCCACCATTCCGCCTGTTCTCCTGTAATTTTTCTCCCATTCTTCTTCCAGGCTTATCGACATCGTGTGGGGAACGATGAGATATTCCCTTTTTAGTGTCACTTTCAGGAGGCTTTCCACCATTTCTTTTGCTGTGTGATTTTTCATTCATTCCTCTCCCGAGCTTGTCATCCACATGGCGTGGGGAATGATTAGGTATTCCCTTTCCTGTATCGCTTTCAAGAGACTTTCCACTGTTCCATTTATTCTTGTGTAGTTTTCCACTTATTCCTCTATCAAGCTTAACTTCACCATGCTTTCTCTTCCTTGAAGTCTCTATAGATGGGTTTTTCTCAGGGCCATGAATATCTCGGTTTTCTCTGTTACCAATGTCATCAGGGAAGCACACTTTACTACCTTCAGGCACAACTATCTCATGATTTGGTTCTTTTGCTTCTTTACTTTGCATGTTAAGATCATCTGTCAAGTCTGAAGAATCAATGTTGTAACAGTGAACCTCTGCTGGATGATCAGGGTTTTTTGTTTCATAGCAACTTTTTTCCAAATGCGATCCTCCCTGTAGCCGGGATAAATGACCATGCTTTTGAGCTATAGCCTTGTGTTTTGCACTCCAATCAGGACGGCTCCAAAGATAAAGAGGTGGGGTAGTCACATTCCACTGATCCATTTGTTTGTCATTCTCATCAACAGACCCAGGCAGATAGAACGACTGTGGGGAAAAAAAAAAAAAAGACTATCATCAAAACACAACCTATGTTCAGCCACAAGGGAAATGCAAGAAGCATCTTATTCTTGTGTTACCTTTCCTGACAAAAACTGATCATCCTCCCAAACAAGATCATAAGGTGGATTCTTTTTGTCTAACCTGGTAGATAGCAACATGTGTTAAGAGGCAGAGAGAGAGAAAGAGAGAGATGAATACTGCCAGCATGTACCTTTCTGTTTCTGGTGGAACAATTAAAACAAGAAGTTTTGGTTTAAATTCAAGAGCTTTATCAATGAACTTGTTGGCCAAAGCTGCTTTAACTCCAAAGGGAGGATTTATTCCCATTATCTGTTGAAGAATAGATAGAATTTATTGCATTAAATAACAGATTTGATTAACTCAGATTTTTTTTTTTTCTTTTTTAACAACTGAAATGAGAAGAATGCTTACCAACTGTGAACCTCTTGGCAGCTCATCTGGACGAACAGTCATCCAATCCCTCTTCTCAAAATTGAAGTAATTCTACCAAGAAAAGCAAAGATTTTAAAAAATCAATTGCAAAGTCGTAGCAAGACATAAGCACACCTATACCACCCAGAACTGAAGACACAGTCATATGTTTGATGAGGCAATCAACAGTTATTATTTTCAAATTTTCCTTTTTATATTCTTTGTGAATGATTTGGTTTGCTTACTGGATTTATAGTCAATGCTTGTTATCCAAATCTTTTGAAATTTTGAGTTGAGATTGAGTAACTGGAGAATATCCATCTTCAGTAGTTTACAATTTGTAATGGAACAGAGGTCAGTTAAAAAAAAGGATGCCAGATCTTGTCTCAAGTTTAGGTGTGTTCTTCAATCCAAAAATCAAATTATAATTATGAGTTTTTTTTATTAGTTTTAATGTGAAAATGTTAAATCTTATAATTTTTTTAAAAAATATAATAAATTATTTTACAATTTAAAAATAGAAACTCAAGTCCCACATTAACAGCAATGATAAGTACCATTCACTGTCGGACTTAATTGCTGAAAACTGGAAGTTCAAGTGCCAAATTAACAGCAGTTGAAATATGAGGGGAGAATTAAACTCAATACCTTTGGTTGAATAAGATCATAGTTTTTGTATGAGCACTTCTTCCCCATCTCTTCAAGCTTCTTTTTCATCTCCACACTAAAGTCATTTGCACCACAACAGAAGTCGACAACCTATCACAGATGATTATTACAGATATATTTGGTATGAAAGACTAGTAATGGTAATGTTAAAATGTATTTACTTTTAGCCATTGGAAACTCAGTAATATACAAACAAAATTTTAGCAGAAAAGAAGGAAACTGTTGGTGCAGATGTTAGGTAATAAATGATATACACAATGTTAAATACAAATTCTTTTACATATGGGAAAAAGAAAATTGTCCACCTTTGTCTTTGTCAACAAGATAGTTTGGACAATGTGTCTTTAACAAATTATTTATAAACTAAAGATGTTCCCTTAAGTTCAGTGTGGATTTATCTATCAGGAGTTGTGTTCACCAAAGAGAAGATTGCTTGGAATCATGATTAGATCAAACTAGGTAAACTTGTCCTCAACAAATTATTTATAAACTAAAGAAGTTCCATTGAGTTCTTGGGAGTTTATCTACCAAGATTGTGCACACCAAACAGAAAAGGATGGGCCCTATGAAGGGTTGATGTATGCAGTTTTCCCCTGCATTAGGCTATTTATGTGGCTCAAACCCATAACCTCCAGGTCACAAGAGGAGTTACACCAAAGTCACACACATATTTTTTACCTTTACCAAAGGAAAATTTCTTTTCAGCAATTTTTATGCAAGTCCAAAACACCAGAAAACAACGAAATCGATATTTTGGGAAATATCTTACCTGAAGCAAAAGGAGCCTGAAATCTTACATCTCAGGAATATTGTGAAAGTATATTTTGGCCCAAATCACACCCAGAAATACCATAATTTAAGTGCCAAATAGTATCGAGTGAATGTAAGTTTTTAAATTCTTACCATATCACCATCTTGTACATACCAATGGAGCAAGTCGACAATCTGCACATTAGAGATATTATCCACTAGTAATGTACCAATTTATAAGATTAGAAATCCTAATTGAACAACTTTAGTAGGTTTGTTAAAAATAAGAATCCTAAAAAACTCCGGAATATTTAAAATGCAATGATAATATTAAATAAATCTAAACCAATAAGGACGCAATTAAAATGAAACCAACAAATATAAATAGGAATACAATCCCCTACATTTGATGGGTGGGGTGAAGATAGCAGAGCATTAAGTATAATAACAAAAACTAATACAGGAAATAAATACATAGAATATATTAGAAATAATAATCAAATATATTCTAACAAAATTAAATTATCAAGAATAGACAAGAAAATTACCTCTTTAAGTTTCTCTACTTTTGTAAAATGGCGACCAAAGGATGTATATCGCATTCCATATAGAAATGGAGCAAGATACACTCTAAGCTTGTTCTAGAAAAATATAAGCCAACCAACAAGGTTAATAAAGATAGAAGAAATGAGCTGCTTTAGATCTTTAGCACAAATAAAATATATCGGCTCTAAAAACTCCAATGGTCAAGCATTCTGCTGATCTACTCTGATCAGATTGCCCCAGTTGGAGTCTTGTAATTCTCTAAATAAACAATCACCAAGATGCAAATGCATTCCAGAAGTCACAATTATAAAATCAAGTAACTTTAAAACGTATGTGAATAGAAGGTAGAGAAGCAAGGATTCAATTCGACTATTCATTAAGGCAGCAAAACCCCTTCCGTATCCATGTGTGTGTCTATCAGATCAGGTACAGATTATACATGTCGATCGACAATTACCTTCCACTTAAAAACCTGATTCAGAACTTCTGGTTCACAAACAGCTTTGGCATCTTCAGTACTGCATCCATCTTCTAGCTTCTTTAAAGCTGTCCTAACCGCCTGCATATAGGTTGGAGTTGGAAGTATTCCTTAAGCAAATGAAATCGAACAGAAAAAGAAAATACAAATATATAAAATCATAAATGGTTATGCATTATAGTTTTATTAAAAAAAAAAGTTTATACTGTGTGTACCTCCACTGCACCCTCCACCTTTCCTGCTGTAATTGTCTTGTCAACGGCATTTTTTGATGAGTATGCATGTGTAGATGGAGTTTCATGCTTTTTCATGACTTTTTCCATTGTTATTGTAGAAGCAGCTTCTTTCATTAAAGCCAAAATTCTATAAAAGAAGAAACTAATGTCAGAATAAGACAATATGCACAAATAGAAACCTCAAATCATGAAACTGTGTAGTAATCATGATCCCCTTATAATCAAGACTGAAAATGAAAACAGAGAAACATGCAGGATTGTAACCATTCAGAGGTTAAAATGAAAAATATCACCTTCTTTCTGTGTCAGCGTCTAATGAAGGCAATTCACTGCTCAGGTTCTTGGTAGAAGTCTTAACTTCCGTTTCTTTAACAATGTCACTAGTGCATCTGTCCTGCTTACCAAGTTTTAATTGTTCAGACTGTTTATTCATGAATTCAAATAACCTGTCCCCCAGTGCATCCTTGTTCATATTGATTGCAGCAGACCTATCCACATCTGTTGAGCCAGACTTCACATTCTCCTTCAAAGACATCCTGGATGCAGTTTTTGCTTTCAATTTCCTTGAGGAATTCGATCCAGATGGAATTGTTTCATCTTTTTTAATATTCACAACCTTTTTAACACGAGAAGATGACTCTGTAAGTTCTTCAACAGAAGTTTGTCCCAAAAGGGAGCCTTCTGATGTCAGCCTTCTTTTCTTTAGCAAAACTTTCCCTGAGCTTCCAGGCAATTCTGATATCCAGTTTTTCTTTTTGTATCCAACATCAGGGAATCTTATGTCTCTTATTGGAGTTCCAAGGTGATCAATGATCTCATGTTTTCTTGTTATAAAAAGAACAGGGAAAAAGAACCCATATTTAGCAAAACATTCCAAACAAGAAGTAGAAAACAGTGAGAACAAGAAAAAGAACAGCACTTACAAACAATATATCAATACACGGTTGGGCAACAGACCCTCCCATGCCCGTGTTTCTCTTTCTTCTTCTTCTTCTTCTTCTTGCTCTTCATCTTCGTCTTCGTCTTCACCTTCTGCCTTTTTCTTTTCAAAAACAATCTCCCTGATAAGGTCATCCAAGCATTAATCATCTATGCTATTACAGATAATGAGAGAAATATTTATTAACATGGCTGTCTTAATTGGAGGTGATAGGGGAATTAGACACTACTTTGGCAAGCATTTTCTGTGGTAGGATGTGGGACAGCGCCTGCATACAGCAAACTGCAGCTCCTTTATCTTCTTATTCTCTCCTTGTTTACAAGCACAGCATTTGTGAATAGGGCAGGTAAAATACGCCCCTGAAGCAATTTTTTTCTCAAGCTCCTCAACAGCAACTTCATCCCCAGGGTGGAGTAATTTTGCAATACAATGTGGGTGATAAAAATGACCGCAGGTTGCATTGGCACAACGAAACACCTGAAAGCTAATTTGTTAAACAAAGCTTGTGATACCAAAATAGGAACAAACAATTATTAAAGAGGGAAACCTAGAGGAACCATTCATAAGTGACTGCTAAAATCACTAGAACTAGACAACTATTTTTGTCATTTTTGAAATAACTAAGAAATTACAAAGTCAATGTACACAACTTGAGGAGAAAGAATATCAAGAAGATATCAATCAGCAAGGAAACATATATAGAACTAAGGGCAAGATAGGTCCTTCAAAAATTCCTATCATCAACTGAAGAATATTAAAGTGAAATATCTCTGGTTCTAAAACTGATTTTAGCATACAGCATCTGTACAGGACTCAATAGCATGGATAAATCAGATACAGCCACAGTTTACAGTAGAATGACAAAAATATAAAAAAGAAAAGGACTATCTAATGTCTTCATACCTTAGCACCAGAAACTTTATCAGAGGAGCCCAACTCTCCACAAGCAAAGCACTGATGCTGCTTATATTCACAATTCTTACAGTAAAAACTCTTAATTGCCTGCCAAAATGAAAAAAACAGGAAAGCTAAAATGATAGGAAGCAGAAGATAGTAAACTGAATTAAATGGAAATAAGCAATGGTGACATACTTCAACTTCTCTCTCTGTAAAGCCAAGAGAGGCACACACAGATTCTCTTCCAGCTTCTTCAGTTGCATGAAATGACCTCATGCAATTTCCTTCACAACTGCGTGATATCAGAAAGCAAATGCAGAACATATGTTAGAGATGAAGCCAACACAAATAATACTAAGATAACAAAATAAGAAGCCAGGAATCAGGAATTTCAGTTTCAGAAGAGAGATCACAATAAATCATTCAAGCTTCATTATACTCTACAACTCATGCAGAAGTATTTCAACAACATCAATCTTTTTACAAGAAGTCAAAGATTCAACTAAAACAAAGATGGAACACCATATCAATTAAATAGAATAACAACATTTCCATGCATATTTAAGAAGATGAACTTAACAGATCCTTTTCACAAGCTCTTCTCTTTTCTATAAGAGTAGTTTTTCTCTACGGATATTAAAGGTATGCACAAACTTTTCCCAAAGAAGTTTTGCAACACTCAAACATGATCCACTATGCCCGTATCTCTTGGATGATGAAGAAAAACCCCTCATTAATTAGACAACTAGAAGTGCTATCACAATGATTATCAAGGAAGCAATTACTTTTATTTGGATAGGAATATTTTACTATAAGAAATCTCAGAAAGCAACCCAATCAAAAAGAAGAAATTAAAAAGAAAATATCATTGGAAATACAATTGCCAAGCTGGCTCTCAAGTGCAACCAGCAAACATTGCATACCATAGAAGGGCACCACCATTATCACAAAATGCACAGACAGAATCAAACAAGTCGTCATCGTCGTTGTCGTCTTCATTGGATTCATCTTTTTCAACGGCTTCAAGAATTTCATCATCAACGATAAATTTAGACATATTTGTAGCTTGCACATCCTGAAAAGTGATGATCCCACTGGATCAAAGAATATAATACTTTGCAAAGAAAGCAACAGATAGCAAAAAATATAACTACCAAGGTAAACAGAGGATAACCTCATCATTGAGCTTTCTCTTCCTTGGCTTTTCCTCAAGAAATGTGAGTAGAAACTGCTCATGGAAATTGTAGTTAGTGCACAAATGTTTAATCAAATTGCAATGTCATTAATTACATATAAGTCAGAAAGCTAATGGATTTAATCAGCTATAATTTGAGAATGTAGCCCAGTCACACTCAAAAGAAACAGAGAGCTAATCATATTAGCAAACTGAGATAACACCAAGATTAAGAAAAGTAACAATATTGAACAAGGTCTAAAAGCAACCTAAACAAACCAACAGCAATATGCTGGTTAAATAATCACCTATACAGAGATTGGACCATCACACGTATCAAAAAGAACCAATCATACAACATTGATGAATAAACATACACAAATTGACATCTACTTCTTATAATAACCACATTATCCAAGTCATGAATATTTTTCTTCCTAAATTCGTTGAAAATTTGTTTACCACTCATCCAGCCGCCGTCTATTTTGTTGCTCCACTCAAACAATTTATAGCTAACCATTCTAAAGAATGTTTATCTCAGGCCAGTATCCTACTGATACGATATTTGCATATTTATTTGAGTTGTTTTACTGACTTTAAAAAACTATTCACAATAGCAGCCTGCCGATTCAATCTGATTCTGTTACACATTTTCCAATTCTGTTCGTCAAAACTCTGCTCCTAAAGCATTGGTGAAAATGAAAAAAAAAAAAAAAAAATGTAACTGTGCAGCCACATCCAGTTACTTAAGCGCACTTTCTAGTTTGAATATATGGAATACGAGGTGGACTAAAATACAACAAACTTTGCATCTCACTGAGTTGCAATTCATATAAATATTTGTTTAAAGTGAGACAGACTGACAGTATGAGTTCAATGACCCTATTCTGTGTCCAGCAAGTCTATCTATTGAAAACTCAGGCCTTTTCATTCTTAATACATCCTAGAGTCCTAATATAGTGCTGATAAGCATAGAGGCACATCATTAAAAAAGAAAAGCTTTCCGAGTACAACTATAAATTTTTTAATTGTAAAATGAATAGATGAGAAGGATGCAAACCTTGGACTCTGCTAAGGAATCATCTCGTTTAACAGCTTCAGAGATTAAAGCCATGTGATCCACCAAGTCATTCAGAGAAGGTCTAACATCAAACGAACTACAAATATAACAATAACTGTCATATTTTGCACTCCTTAGACAAAAATAAAAGATAAAAGAGACAGTGGCCTCTAAAAGAGAACCTGAAAACCTTGGACAGGTGGTCCCACAGAGATTTCTCAGATGCCCCTGGATTCCTCCTGACAAAATGAAGACATTGCACTGTAATCAAGATTGTCCTAATTATTTCTTCAAAGCTCTTCCTGGGCTTTTCCAGTTTGATCCAATTATTCGCCTTTGTGAGCACTGATATCTCCGGAATTGCATTCAACACATCAAAATTCCACGCTGTGACTTCCTTGTGTATGGTCTGAAGCCCTTTGTCTACAGACCCATGCAAGAATATCTGCTGTTTTGGTTTTTCGTTAACACTCTCACTCACACTCCATTGAAGTGGCAACACCGAAAAAGATATAGGTGTATCCTCGTCATTTACAAAATGGTAGTTCAAGACAGACTGCGGCCCAACATCAGCCTCATCGTCTGATGATGTCATGCCCTAATGCAAAAGTCCAAGCAATCCCATTCAGAGCCAAATAACACGTTTCCAGAAAAGAAAACAAATAAATAGCCACAGCAACAATATGACAAAGCAAGATTAAGTTACAGAAACACTCAAGACTCACGACTTGTCCTAATGAAAACACAAAATGGTCATTGCCTTTAAGCTTTCTCCAGCAAAAAGTTCAGTCAAATCAAATAGTTAAGAACTCATCATATACATACTTACACATTAAAATGGAAAATAGAGAAACAAATATAAACGTCATTAACTCAGTTTAAGCCAAATTAAATTAAAAGTCATGTACATGATTTGCCAAAAGCAATCATAATAGAATAAAAAAGTTTATCAAGAATTAAAGCATACAACATCAACTTAAATCCACCAAATACAAGAATTCTCAATTTTCAAATTATGAACCCAAAGATGACATACCGCCTCAATTTCCCCGGGAAACAACAAAAAATCGAGGGTTCCTCTAAATGCCAAAAAATTACCCAAAATAAATAAATATGAAATAGAAGAAGGCGAATAGTAAAACGAGAATAATAGAAGAGTTACTTGATCAAAAGACGAACTGAAGGAGTGAAATCCCTCGATTAGGTTTTCAGTCTTAGCGTTTACGTTCGTATCTCCATTATATGCCTGTATTAAAAAGACGATAAGTGCCCAAAGCAATTATGTTTTGAGACCGCAACGCAACTGCACTGTATTCGCCAAGCTTTTTCTTTCTTTTTTCCGTTTCTGTACTTGTTTTGTTACGCTCTAACCTCTTATGTTGGCCCAATAATAATTAGAAACACGGTTAAATTTGCCTCTAGAGCTTGTCTTCAACCTAAAATTTATCTAAAAAAATTGATTTTTTTGAACCTTTTAACCTATGAAGGTGCACCAAAACAACAAAATACTGAGATTTTTAAAAATTTTATTTTTATTATTTTAACTAATAAAAATTATATAAAATTTATAATTTAAAAATTATTTAAAAATATTAATAAAATAATTATAAAAATTAACAATATTTGATTTAAAAATAATTTTACAAGTTTTTTATTTAAAAAAATTAATTATAAAAAGAATGATGATATTGAAATATCTAGTAAGGAAAATATTTATTATTTTTTAATTATATTTAATTAGATTAAATAATTAATTACTTTTTAATCATATATTTGAATCATATTAAATAATTTATTTTTTAAAATAAATATCAAACATTTCATACTTTTAGTGCATGTTTAAAGGATTGAACTTTCTGTACGGAAGTTCGTGAGTCAAATTGAGGCTTGTTCTAATATTACCTCGACGAATGCACACACTACCTGTCAGTAATATGGAAAGAAAAGCCTTGGATTGTGCATTGCCGTTTTGGCCCATAAATAAACTAGAAAACAACATGTAATATTGTACTTGTACTGTTGTACATGTAAAAGCTTTTATGAGTACTTCACTATTCATTTTGCTCAGCCGGCCAACCGGCGACCGACCAAACTAATTAAAATATTTTTTTAAAAAAATTTATTCTAAATTTAGTTTATGGTCCGCTAATACACCACATCAATGAAAATAAAAAAATTTTATTTTTCCATAATATAAGTATTAATAGCAATATATTTCATTCTAGGAAGCGCAAAGCCAAAATTTTAAATTAAGGAGTAAACATCTCAACAGCTAGATCTAAGCTTTTCTTCCATTAATGTTGATTTCTTTACTGTAAATAATCTTCCCATGGTCGCAAATGGCCTTAATTTCTCTAATTAGCCTGAACCAAAGTCCATATAAAGGACGAAGATGAACCTTGCCGCTAGCCTTCACATTAAAATCCACAACTCCATAATGGACCCAATCTCTTGCAATCTTGTACGCAACCCAACTGTCTATTGATTTAGAAAATGCCTCAACTACCAAAGAACCGTTATGTATTTTAGTTTCTTGATAAAACGGCGGAGTATGAGCCGAGGCAATCTTGTACTTGCCATAGTTGATAGAAACCTCTAGAGGTTCATAAGATATACTTGAGCAAACTAAATTAGGGTTTGTGACATGAAACTGTATATTCCATATGGCTGTGATTTTGTACAAAGAAGAAAAGGAGTCTATGGAGATGTCGAAGGAAGAGACTTGAACTGAATCGAGATGGAACAATGGAGGAACTAGGAATCTTGAAAGCATAATGAGGAGAAAACTAAAACTGAAACCTAAAACCAGTGAAAGAAGGAAGGGTTTGGTTTCTTGATGGTGAAGACATTTCTTGTATTCCATGGAGGTAGCAAGAAGAAAGAACAGAGCAATGAGAAAGGACAAGAAAAATAAGTATGTGAAGCTTTGTATGGAAAGAATTGGCTTAGCTAGCTAGTTTCTTTTAAGGAAAATAATCTTGAACAACAAAGCTTTAAGTCATTTTTCTATTATTTTGTTTAATTTAGTTAACAAAGAAGAAATAATCAAGAAGTGAACTCTTTTTTTGTATATAAAAAAAAATATGAAATTTCCCTATCAAAGGGCTTTCATTTTGGTGAGACTGAGATATTTTATAGTATCATCTTAGCTGAAAAAAAAAAAAAAAAGAAGAAAGAAAAATGTTCTTGAATTGCACAATTAGTTTAATTAAAAAATAAATAAAAAAGGATCAAATGACGGAGCGTTGAGGAAGAAACTACGGAACTTGATAAAAATTTATGAACTAAACCATAAGACCAATGACAATGAGCTTTGTGTGCTGTTTGGTTGAAATAAATTATTAAAATCTTGGAATGCATGAATAATGCAATAAAGTTTAATTACATGATTTGAGTCTTTTGGTTGTAATTTACTTAATCGTTAAGTGGTAAAAAGCCTTTGGGTCGTTGTTTATTGATATCAACATATCGTATCAAAAACACTTTAATCTTGGAAATATTGTATATCTTTTATTATCTTTTTATTAGTGCATGAAAATGTGATTGTCCAAAGAATACATCTAACAGTATAGCCTATGCTGATGAATAAAGGGGAAAGGCCCATGTAGAAGTCGAGCTTTTATACTTCTTTCTCAAAGAGCAGTTTTACAAAATTCTATTCTTTCCTTCCTATGGTTTTTTGTATTTGCTTTTTGCTTTATACGAGGAAAGAAGTAGAAACTTAATCACCTAACTGTATGTATATTCACTTTCTTCTGGTTCAACCCCAGTATGATCTTTGTAGAAACATAAACCTCATACTTCTCTTTCAGAAGCTTCCTCGTTCTCGAGCAGAGATGAAGCTTCGTTCTCGAGCAGAGACGAGACAGTAGTATCAGAAGCAGCATCATCAATAGTTAGATTTGACAAATCACCCCCCAAGGAGGAGGTATCATCTTCTCCAATAAGAGAGGGTGCCGGAGATGCTTCAGGTGTCAAGGTACATGGTGTGTCAATAGATGAATCCCCTTCTTCCACTGCCTTCTGCAAGCTCCAGTACATTATACTGGCTGCTAGAGTGAGAATCATCTTTTGGTTTACCTGTCACCGCAACACATTAACAATAATCAAGTTAAATGGACATATTTATTCAAATATACAACTGGATTAATTTTCCATATATAATGTTGTCTGGCTTTCTCTCTCACTCCCCAAGAGCAAATTAAAATTTTGGGCTGAAAAGAATTCACAAATCTGCTAGTCTTAGTAAAGCTTTGCATGTTATTCAGTTCAAATTATTTATGAATTAGCCCTGCATTCTTCAAATAATCAGAACAGTCATTCAAAATCTTTAACTGTCGTAGTAGCATTCATACCTCTATGATATCCTCAGGCAACAAGAAAATAGAACAACCAAGTTTCCTCGCCACACTGATTATGTATGTCGCATTCAATCTCTTTTCATCATCTAGATTCAAGTAAGAAAGGAAAGAAAAAAGAAGGGGAAAATATGTCCATCAGTATTTTTCATACTATGCTGGCATATTGAAGAAGTAACAGAACAAGTAAAAGAGCAACCAGGAAGAACACTGCATTTTTCGTATGGAAAAATCAAGACACTAACTGAACTCACCAGATTCACCCTTGGTAACAAGATTCCAATTAACCACCCTAGGCTCCACAGAACTAAGGAGCTCAAGGAAAAATATCCCTGTTGACAGACTCCTATCCTGAAAGTTCCAAAAACAATTAATGCCACTTAATACTTATGGTGCATAGGGACAGGATTTGATGCTAATGCTAACATGCAAAATTTGCTAACCTTGAAGTTCTCAATTTGAGAATTTCTACCCATACTTCTGACCTTCCTGTTTGCCCATCTTAGAATATCTCGATCAGTTACCTCCTTCCCTTGAGAGTGAGATCTCAAGTTCTTCAAGAGTTGAAGCATATTGTGCCTCATCAGCTGCCATAAGAAAGCTGACAAAGATCTCATCAGTTTATTTTATGCATATTTGAAGCATTGCACAAAAGTATTTTAGCTGAGAAGAATAAAGGAAGGGGGAAAAGTCCAAGGGACATTGAACCGAGTAAAACAGTCACAATTACAATATAATTATTCCATTTACAACTTGTTTTACTAGCTCTATTTCACCATTTTAACAAAAGCAATCTCCAAAAGTCCAGATATCATTAAAACATGAACTACAGAAATTCTAAAAGCAAACCTGTTTGCAATTTGCATCAGTCTATGTATGCAGCAATCATTCTCCATAATTTGTGAGAATATTCAAATAAGATAACATAGAAGAGCATAATGACATTATGAAAACAAAAACATACCATTTTTGAAGTCCCTGATCAAGGATAGCATCCAACCATTTAATTTCATAACTTAAACCATTAAGTTTCAAGATCAAATAATAAAAGCAGAATTTATAGAAACTGAAATTCATCCCTGCATAACAAGGGCATTACCAAGAATGAGTTTCTTATTTCCTTGCACAATATCATTTCCAGCAACATTAACAAGGGAAAATCTCATTTGTCTCCCAATCTTTATGACTTGATTGCAGTTCTCTACTTTTCTAAATGGCATCTTGATTGGAGGCCTTGATGCATGCTTCCAGTTAACTGATCCGGGAGACACCTTATCAAGCACTTCTAAAAGAACCCATCTGCATGCATAACCATTTGAATGTCAAGTTTGAGATTCCAATAGTTCCATTGCTGATTAAAAATTACGTCCAACATCCCCCTGCTAGATTATAAAACTACAAAGAAGTCCTGTAGTAGTAAAATAACAAAAAAGCAGAAACCATATGTGGAAGAGTTTCATGAAGGGACTACAAAGGAAAAATTTGAGGTATCTACCAAGATTTTTTCACAGAACTAGTAGCCAATTAGCTTGAAGTTCATCCATAACACTATTTTTCAAAGGCGACAGATTATAAACAACTCAATGAATTCAGTTAAGTTAACTCGTACGATTAGAAGAACACTCACCCATTCCTAACATCCTCAAATACATTGTTCACATAAGTAGCAATTCCAAGGCTGTTAATCCAAAGTCGAAAGCATCTTTCTTCTCTAGATGTTTGCACATCGTCACTCATCATCTCTGCAAAGGAAACATTTCTGCTATCTGTAGAAAGGCCATTCCTGCAAGAAGACAACCTTTGCTCTCAATTGCAACACTAAACTATGATGAAAGAGAGGGACGAAATCATGTTGCCAAACAACCTAAAATACTAAAAAAACAGTGTGCTAGAAGGGAGGGATTGAGTTAAAAAATAATAATATTATTAATAATTTAGCGAGAGAGAGAGAGAGAGAGAGGAAGGTGAGAAGTATAGATTGTTACTGATCTCCGAAGAATGAGAGGACTATCCAACTTCATACAGGAAGATGATTTCCAGAAATCGAACATCTAATGATATTCAAATACTACTGTCAAAACCTTGTACAACAAAAACATCCAGCTGACTGTCTTCAGGAATCATTAATGAAATTCACATGCATCACATTTATGATTATTCATTTGAGAAGTCCACTTGCTAAAAATACTTGCTTGTACGTACTTCTAAATAATTGTCGCATCATGTATGTGTTTTCTTTTTCTAGCTTTTCCTTTCAAAGCATATCTAGTATAACCAATAATGCATTTTGCAGCAAGTTTTATTTTTATCCAGTTATTGGAAATTAAGCAAAACTTCTCCATTTAAGAGTCATTAATAGCTTAAAAACGTCTGAAGTTGTGATAAACTTCTTATAAGATGAAGGTACAAATAAAAATTTGAAGGAGCCACAGGTTTGAAAGGAACTGATTCTATCTAATATGCTGGTATACGATCTATACTAGTGACAAGGCAGTAGCATATTCCAATGACTTCTTCAGAGTGTAAACATACCCAATTTACAGTTAAAATATATCCTGCAATGTCTACCTATCAAGTCAAAAGGAAAGACAGGAAAATTTGCAGTAGAACAGAAAAAAATGACTTATGATAATTCATTTCTCACCTGTGATGAAATATTTGAGCAACAAACGCAAGATTTAGATTTGCTGAACCTTCAACAATATCTTCTGGTTTTAAATATCTTTTGCAACCCATCCTCTCTGCATGATCAAGTACTAGCTTAGCCCTTTCCGTGGAGTCCTTGGCATCCAGTGTAGCTGGATTACAGTGTTCTGGCGCAAGAACATTGAGCAAGTAGGCATAAGCCTTTGCATCCTATGCATGTAACCAAAAGACATCATTACAAGAATTTTAATCGCACTGTTTTGTTATTCTATACTATGAAAAGAAAAACAATAAATGACCAGTCCAAAAAGAGTATACTTGCACTGATAAATTAACCAGTGTGAAATAAAACTTGTTTTAAAAAGAATAAAGATAGGGAGAAACACTAACTATAAGTTCAGAGCATCTCTATTGGTGCAAAAGAGTGGAATCTTATTATGCTCTGAATAAGAGATCCCATAATAACTAACTCTTGTTGACGCCTAATTTCAAATTCCTTCCAGATGAATAACCAAAATAGTCCGATCTCTCACATTGTTTATGGTATAATTGGAAAGCAAAATTTTCATTTTCGAACTTCGCTTTTAACATAGTGTTTTCTTAAGGACAGGACTTCATATAGCATAGTCAAGCCTTAAACTCAATCCCCAAGAACAATGGAGAAAGAACAATGCATGTCATAGTACAACTTACTTCATAATGGCTATTAGGTATACTGTGGAAAAAGAGACTACCTTCAAATCAGATGAAAAATTTGTTACAGTTTTCTCATAGCCTCCTTTCTTAAGATGGAAATTCATCCATTTCAACAAAACCTTTTCGGGGGCCAAGCTCATTAGCTCCTCAACATCCTGAAAGGTACACAGTGAAGCAATTAATCATTTGGTTCAAAGCATTATAAACTTAACTCATTTTGATGGAAATTTTGAAATGCCATAAACAAAGATTTTATTACATTGTTATCATCCACTAATTCCACAAGCTGGGGTGTCTTCTTAAGACTAAGATCTGCTAACAGTTGAATCTGATATTAAAGCAGTAAGTAAGTTAACGTGATGAAAAAACGAAGTAAAAGATTAGAAAACATTCAATTACAGCTAAAAGGACAATCAATATGATTATTATGAAAACATAACCCTATTCTCAGCACATAATATTTTTTTTAATAAGGAACTAAACTCCCTGCAAATGAGTATCACATAAAATACACACCTTTATAATTTGAGAAATCAACCCAAGCACCAGATGAGGCTGCAAAACAAACAAAATTAATGTTCCTTATACCTGAAGATAACCCACATTAGGAATCCAAATCAGATAAAACTTACTCTTGCTTCCACCAAGTCCTGAGTGCCAATATTAACTACAGTGCAGCCAATAGCTTTAGCAGAGTTGAGGCAAAGGGTGTGATTTTCATTCCTCTCCCATGGATTGAGAACCCTTTTTGTGTTAATAGCTCGTTCATCTATTGTCCCCGGCACCGCAACATTGATAAGCTTGCTGAATATAAACAAAAGATAAATAAACCTCTCCAGAATCAGTATTCACTGATTTGATAAATGAGAGAAAATGAAGCAAACCCTGCTTATACCATAGAAGCACTCCATCTCTAACTAGATTGAATAAACCATTTGTAGCTGGGTCTAACGGGAGAAACTGCTTTAGAAATGGGTCATCTCCAAGATAGCTATTTATGTGAACAACATAAGATACTTTCTCTGATTCATTAACTGTGTGAAGAAGGGTAGTTATTGTGGCTTTGAGGAACGATAAACCATGCTTTTGTTCCCCTGATTTAGCATTCACTCGACCTTGCAAATTCAAATATGCCTGCCAATTCCACAAAATTATTAAACATATCAGCACCCAAATTCTGAACAATCATTAGAATATAACCTATCAAAGTAGTTATTCACTGAAGGATTCCAATGCCAAATTATGTTGATTAAGAGGTAATAAAAAAACAATGAAACTGACACAAACGACTCACCCTGAGGAAGCCTTCAAAATCAATCTCATTGCTCAGGTCAGGAAACGACTCACTCAATATACATTTAATTTCCTCCTCTTTGAACGCTGAACTAAAAGCTTTTAGTTTCACCATCATAGGAGGCAAATCTTCAATAGTTACGTTGCCATTTTGATTCTTTGCGGATATAAACTTACAGCCACAGGAAAAGTACAAAAGTCAAGCAAAGATTTTCATTCTAAACAAAACAAAATTAGACAAAATTTCAATAATTCAAGTGCAACCAATTAAAAAGTAGCGAGCACTTACTTTCGATTTAAGGCTGCGAAGCTGAACCTGCGTGAACTGACTCTGAAGCCATTGATCAGAGACATGAACGCCAATATAACTCGACATCTCCGCGAATTGCTAACGCGGAGAACTCTAACTATTCTCAAAATTGATCTTTAACACGAGCAAGTAAACAAAAATGTCTGAAGTCTTTGAAACCAGAATTCTAACCAAAGCCAAAATTCAGAGAGTCGATTTTCAGATCCTATTTACGTACAAACAATAACCACCCGCAATCAAATTTTCCTTGTAGGTGGATCAGCCTGCATGAATCATCAACGTTCAATTATCTATCCCTGATAAACAGAAGCACAGAACCAGTAGGAGTTCATTAAATAACACCCAGTAATAATGTAAATAAACAAACCACAAAACTAGGGCAAATTTTTGTTCTTAATTACTGTTGCTTCAATAATAATACAAAAAATGGGTCAAACCCAAGAACAAAATACAGAAACCCATCAAAATAAGCCTTGCATTCCATAAAAAAAACTAAATTAGAATCAGAAAAAAAAATACAAAAAAAAAAACATTAAATAACATATCTGCAACCAAGTTTTCCTTGTATAACGGTAAAAATGAGATAAAACCCAATAAAGAAAACGTAAAATCAAATAGAACCCAGAATTGCATACCTATGACAATGTCAAAAACAATTAGAGATTCACGTTAAAACCTATCAGCCGCTTTTCCAGACGCCATTATATATTTTTGTACATGTCTAAACAAAGATAAAATACAGATAGAATTTAGAGACGGAACGGATCGATGTTTCTTCGTGGAAGAGCAAAGCCAGATAGAGAACAGGAAAGAGAAAGAGAGAGAGAGAGAGAGAGAACGGTTTTCAGTTTTTACCAAGAAGACAGCGAATAGCATAATGGCCTAGAAACCGATTTGATGGCCATTTTGGTACTATCAGGTTTATGGTAATTTCATGCTCTTGCTGTCTCTGTTTGCCAGCTCATCTAATTTTTGGACACGTACCTTTTATTTTCGGCCTTTTCTGCAACAATTTTTGTTCCCACGTTGATTTACCGGTCATACATCGGAGTGATTGGACATAAATAGCCCTACTATTCTTTAATTCCTAAATTTTAAGGGAGAAAAAAATAAAAAAGATTCTTAAATTAAGGTTTTTTTTTTTTAAGAATAGATTTGTTGTTTGTTAAATTAAGTTAAAACATGATTTACTTTCATTACTTGTCTGTTATTATGAGAAAATATAGATTCTATATTTTCCAATGCAGCAAAACTATTATATATAGAGAGAGAGTAAATCATCTTTCAAAATCATATTATTTAATTTCTCATAACTAAATATTTGATATTTGATTAGGCACAATAAAACGTAATATAAATAAAATGAAATCTATTTTTAAAGGAGTATAATATTCCATCAAAAATATATTTATTTACATTATATTGTATTTCATTAGAGCTTACTTATGATCGTCAAAATTGTTAAATCATTAGTTGAATGATATTGCTCACAATTATGTATGAGATTTTAATTCAAAATCTCTTAATTTTTGGACAAAAATTTATTAGAAAAGGAATTAAAGTAAGTATATTCTCAAATTAAGATATTCAATACTAGTAAACTAAACTAACATGCAAATTCAATTTTGATATATTTCAATTTTGTTATATTAAACAAAAAAAAAAACAAAATTATTGTATTAAAAATTCAATTTTTGATAAAAAAATTTTACTCAACTTTGAAGTTATATATATACTTTCAAGTAAATGTATTAATTCCCTCGATTATAGAACTTATAAGTTTCTCCCTATAAAAATTAAAAAGGTTAGTACTATGATTTGACATAAGAGAAAAATACTTAAGGTTTAGTGAAATAGGATCCCTTTTTATTTAATGAGTATAGCAAAGATTCAAAATTTTCTAGTGAAATCTAGAATAGTTGGTTGTGAGATCTAAATCGATGTGACAATAGTTGGTGTTGTCAATGGTCCAAATGTTTTGTGTTGTCTAACTAACAAAACCATAATAGTTTTGTTAATTTTATTTATACAATAGTTTGTCTTCAAATTTGAATCATCATTATCAACCATAGCAAACCAAAGTTTTGTGTATTTATGCGCTCAATGCATTAATTTAATTCTGAATTTTGCAATTTTAATCTTGTAACACTTTGAATTTACGGATAACCTATCATGCACTTGAACTTATAAGTTTAATAATATTACATTAATATCAATAATTTTTAAGATTTTTACCTTTTATCTGCAAAATATGGACTTGATATATGTAGTTAACACGACCTTTGCAACAATAATTTGCATAAATTTTAACGTTTTAATGAGTGTTTAATTGATCTAATTTTGTAAGTTGAAATGTTCAATAAAATAAATTTAAAAATTAAAGTCTTTAATAGATATAATTTTATAAGTTAAAGTATTTGATAGGTCAAAATAAAAACTAAGGGTGCTACAAAATTAAAGTATCAAAGTTTCAGGGTAAAATTATATATTTGACCTATATTTATGGGTTTGTGACCCATTATGATTACATGTATTATTTAAAGAGGAAAGCACAAAAATATTAAATCTGAATCATAATATTCTCTTAAATCGATAGAATTAAAAAAAAAAAGAAAAAAAAGACAAAATGCACATGAAATGTTATGTGTTTGGCTGGCTTATTAGATTGATTATTTATTTTTCAAGTATTAGATGAGAATAATTGAACAAGTATAATAAACTACATGATTTTGAAGATATATAATATACTAGTATTAGAACCCAAGCATATTAAAGGATAAAATAATTTTTTTTAACTCCGGTACAAACACAATACGAAAATTAGACGGTTGATAAGAAAAAATACGTTTAACCGCTTAATATCATAAACAAATATATTAAGTAAATCGTGTTGACCCATATATAACTCGTGTAACACACTTAACATCATAAATAGGTTAAGTGGATGTGTAGGCCTATATACGATCCACTTAACCTCCTTATAATATTTTTAACTTTTAACCTATTTAATTTTAATCACATTAAAAATAAATTTTCAAACGTAAAATGCATAAATTCTTTAAGATTCATAATTAAAATAAAAAAGTAATACAGCAATAAAATTTAAATAGGTTTTAGTTGGAGTATTTATATCTAAATTTTCAAACGTAAAAAATGCCATAAATTCTTAAGATTCATAATTTAAAATAAAAAGTAATAAATACAGCAATAAAATTTAAATAGGTTTTAGTTGGAGTATTTATATCTAACACTAAAATTACCTCTTTACTCTTAAATAAATGGGTCACTTGTCTAACCCGCATGTCAACTCGTGACACAACGCATTTATATTTGTGGCATAAATGGATGACTTGTTTATGACACGAGCTCGTTTAACCTCAACTCTAACCCATTTATTCGCGTGTTAGGCGAATCATGTTCGCATGTCGTGACCCATTTTGACACTCCTGGTATGACCAGCATCAAAAAGTGCACACACACTATTAATGTACTTTTCAATAGTGATAATAATTTTGAGAATTTAACTAATTGTATTGAAATAAGGAATTAAATATTTTTTTTATTTTATATTTATGATTTATTATATTTATTTATTTAAAATATTAATGTATTATATTTATTTTATGAGTGTATTCCAAAAGGTGTTGTGGATCTTCAACTTTTTTTTAAAAAATTATGGAATCGAGCACGTTAACATATCGCGAGATGTAGTATTTTTTAAATTTATTTTTGTATCTTCTTTTATTAATTGAATAATCAGGAAAAAATGAATAAGAGATTAAAATTTTTTTTCAGAAAAATTTTTTGTTACTTATTTTTGTTGATAAAAAGAAAAATAAAATAATTTTTCTCTATAAATTTATTTTTTATATTTTATTTTCCTTCTAATTGAAGAGAAAATTATCGAAATTATTTTTCTCTTATATTTCCTTTTCTTTATTTTTCAAAAAAAATAGTTTTTGCTTATTAATATTAGTTTAGTTTTTCCTCCTATATGATTTTGCTTATTAATATTAGTTTAGTTTTTTCCTCCTATATGATATTGTCTAAAAATATAATTACTTTTTTTTTCTTATAATCCGCACGATGCGCAGGATAATATTAAAAAATAAAATAATATTTTATAATAACATTAAAAAATAGTAAAATATATAATAAAATGATAAATCGTATATTATTGAGATATGCTGAAAAGCTGCGATGCTAAGATACATCTTAAATATCATGCGAAACTTTTTATAACGTATGTAATAGTAAAAGTCATGCATGATGTGACCTATATAAAAAAAATGCATACACACTATTAACATAATTTTCAATAGTGATAATAATTTTGAGAATTTAACGAATTATATTGAAATAAGAAATTAAGTTTTTTTTTTATTTTATGCTTATGATTTATTATAATTGATTTTTTATTTATTTGAAATATTAATGTATTACTTATTTAGCGTAATGTGTCTTAAGCAGATGGATGTCCTACTTTTTAAAAATTGTAGTATCTGTACGTTCCCATATCTTGTGTCCTGTTTCTGTGCAACATAGCTCATGATATATGAAACTACTCCTTACACCAAACTAATCAACTAAGATTTTTTTTATTACCAATGAAAATGAAGTGTTTTTTTTTTAATTTACTTTTTGTGTCGTTGAAATAAGAAATTAAGTATTTTTTATTTTATGGCTTGGTTATTTGTATTTTAATTACTTTTAATTTAATGCAATGCATTATCTTCTGGGATGTAATTAATAGATATTATCATAATAAATACATTATGTAAGAATATAAAACAACTTATCTTCTTACAACTGTTGTCATTACACTTTATTTTCTTACAACCGTACTAAATAATTATTATCCTCGTCATACTTGACAATTTCAGATATTTACACTTGACTTCCATATAATGTAAACTGCTATTCTTTTATATATATTATAATGTAAACTGCTATTCTTTATTATATATATATATATATATATATATATATATATATAATTATATATTATATATTATATATATATATAATTATAGAAAAGGGAATTGATTACTTTCTTTTAAAAATCCTTGACATTTGCAAATAAAATTCCCCCGTTTAATTAATTCATAGTTCACTTTAAGTTTCATCGAGATATATATTAATTATAGAAAAGGGAATTGAATACTTTCTTTTAAAATCCTTGACATTTGCAAATAAAATTCCCCCGTTAATATAATTCATAGTTCACTTTAGTTCATCGAGTGGAAAATTATAATTTTAATGACATAAATTTAATTTTAAAACTAATTAATGTACTTGATAATAATTTTATATTTGAAGAAAATACTTCCTTAAAAAAAAAAACATGTGATTTCAATGTCTATATTATTATTTAAAATAAAAAAGTTTGAGTTAAATGTTTTAATATATAAAACAAATTCTCCATTTCAACATAGATTGTTTGACCATATGATATAATAATTATCATCATCATCACATAAGCTATCACCATCCCAGCTTTCTGGTAAGATTAGTAGGTCCCATATAATTAAAAAGAAATATAACATTGATCCCAATAGTGCTTTTTGCTTCTTTTAGTCCTCTAATTACTAATTAGTCATATAATTAATAATTAGTAATTATTACTTTAGTATTACTTTTTTTTTTTTTTTGCCATTGGGAGTTTGTTCATATATTCTTCTCGTCCTTAACTACCAGCCACCGACCAAAACCGACTGCTTTCGCCTTATTAAATACGCCTTTTCATGTGGCTGCCTTGCACGTAGGACAAAGGACCTACTGACTTTACTTAAATTAAGTAATTTGATCGTACTTAGAGTGGGGACGGTAACGGCCCCTCAGGATCTATTCTAGGGGGCATGGGTGGCTGGTGCGCGTGCGGACGGTGGTGGGACAAGCTCTTTTGGAAACGTCATGGCTAAGGGCGGTTTGTCTAGCAAAGAAAATTGGGAAATACAATAATCTAATTGGTAACTAACTATTTAGTCCCTGAGCTAGTTATATTTAGGATTGGAACATTATTTTCAACAATAAAACTTTTCAATTTCTTATTTCCTGATTTTTAATAATATTAAATATTTTTCAATTTTTATAATATTTAATGAAATTAATAATATTATTCAATAATTCATTAATAAAATTTTTAAAACAATTTTTCTTTACTAGTACAAAGTTGTAAAGTGAATATGAACATGGCGAAGGTGCTGATTCTTGGAATGAAGTAACTGTAGAACAGACTGTGAATCCAACTCCACCGAAATCCACCACTGAAGTACAAACCCCCAGGCGGAACTGTGAAACCTGAAATCCACCTACCCACATGGTCATGAACTACACCACCACCGCGTCCAGGGATCATCCTGCATGCACCATCGGCATTCAATTTAACCCACTTATGGCAAGGAGGGTTCCAAGCAACTGAAATTATTTTCTTTGGCCTAATAAAACTACCATCTGAAGCCTTCGACCAGGCAGCCAGCCTCATTAACATCTAAACATTGTCGAAGAAATTGTAATTTTGACAAAATAGAGACAGATTCCCATTCCTCCATCTCCACAGCCACCACAAGACAATTGCGAAAATAATTTTGATTAATTGTAAAATTATAATCACACAATCCGATATTTTTTAGCATTCACATCAAGATAATGCCCAGAATTCAGAAATTCCACATCATCTGTTGACCTGGGAAATCATGATTAGGCTGTCAGTTAGCATTTATACCATTCCGGTGACCTAGAACTACCCTAGATCTATAGAGAGAATGGCAGAAAACAGGGAGAAACAAAGGAAGCGGGGAGAAAGACAGAAAGAGCGATAGAGGGGACAGAAAGATTAGATAGTTGTTAAAAAAAAGGACAGAACCAGAAATATCACAAGCTTTACGATCGAACCTTCAAGAATTCTCTCACTCTTCCACTTCTAACCCTAATTCCACCGTGCAATTCAGTTCCCTAAACGACGTTGTTCAGCACCTCGAGTCAAAGCTCCGACTCGACCTCTCTCACAAGGCCGAATTTATTCGAGCTCAGATCCAACGGTTCCTTTTCCAACAGCCGCCGCTGTCACAATCACAGACACAGTCACAATCACAGTCGAAGCATCCTCCTCTGCGCAATATTCGGAATGACCATTTTGCCCTACAACAAACCCCCAATTTCCACCCTGCTCCCTCCTCTCCTACTGTCTTCTCTGCCTTTCACACTATCTCTTTCCCCCCCGTTCCTTCTGTCAAGCCAGAAAAGATTCCTGTTTCGAGCACCGAGGCTCTAAAAGAGAGGTATGTCTGCTAAATATGCTGAAGTTACTAAGTTTTTCTCTATAGTTCATTAGTTATTATTTTCTGTTTGGTTGCTAAGAAAGTTCAATTGTACTTTACAGTGGGCCCAGCAAAGCTAAAAGAAGAGGTCGCCCGGCGGGTCTCAACAAACTTTGTGGTGTTTCACCTCAACTGGAGGTCACTGTTGGGCAGTCCGCTTTGCCAAGGACCGAGGTTCAGACACTTAACCTTACTTTTTATGCGTGATTTACCAGTTTACTATTTATTGTTAAACTTTCCATACTCTTGGGCTTCAGATCGTGTAGCAGTTGTGGGCTTATATTAGAAAGAACAATCTTCGAGACCCAAGTAACAAAAGGAAAATAATTTGCAACGATGAACTGCGTTTGTTGTTTGAGACTGACTGTACTGATATGTTCAAGATGAACAAGCTGCTGGCTAAACATATAATTACCTTCCCACAAGTAGGTTTCTTTGTGTTTAATTAATCTTTTTTGTAACTAAAGGCGGAAGCTTTCATGTGTTGGTGGTTTACAGAACAGCAGGGTTCTAAGAAGCAAAAGGTGGACGAGGAGCCCGTCATTATCAGACAGGCCGTTTCAGCTCCTTCCATAGCAATCTCTGAAGGACTTGCAAATTTTTTTGGTGTCGGTGTGAGACACATGCTCCAATCAGAGGTCTTTACACGTTTGTGGGAATATATAAATATCAATAACTTGGAGGTAGCTAACTCTCAGTTTGTATCTTGTGTCTTACATTCTGTCAGATCTTCTAATATAATGTGGACTCTGAGAGGTATTTTGTGATAATAGGCTTTTTGTTGATTGATTCAAAAAGACAACAAACAGTAAATTCAGCCAAGGCATACCGCGGTTCGAAGATTTGATTCGATTGATCATTGACTCAAAATTAATTCATTAATTCATATTACAAACAAGTTATAACCAGGAAGAACGTCAACGCAACCAATTCTACCATAGGAATAGGTTGCTAAGATATGAACTAATAACAACCCCTAATTAACTAGCAATCCTAAGTACGACGAAGGATTTAACTGTTAACAGCTTTAAAATCTAATAGAACCCTGCCCAGATTAACAGAAATTACGAGCATCCATTTAAATCTGATTATATTCTTTCTTAATACAACCTAAAAAATTCTACCCAATTAAGTTATATTAATTACTACTGCATCAACCTAACCAAACAATTACGGATTTGATTACGCCGAATAGCTATGGAAATTTCTACCAAACATTGATTTACGCCGAATAGCCCCTATTGGAATTTCTACCAAACAACAAACGGGCCCCGTTTTTAAATCATTTCAATAGAATTTCGCTAGGGGATATGTTTTTCCTTAATTAAATTCAACAAATAAATCACAGAAAGAATATAAATGCAGTAGAATAAAGAAATTCAATTAAGTTCAATATAATCTCACAATCGAAATCATACTTCTACTTTAGTTTAGCCTTAACTGAACAGAACGTTTAGCCACACATGGCTATTGAAGAAAACATCATTAAAAGAATTGAAAGTTCGGCAAAAATCTCTCAAAAATTCTGTAAAATTCGTCACAACCCAAGGGAGGCAAAAGGTCCTAGACAAAAAGACCTAATTTTGACTTAAATGCCCCCTAGAAAGTGGGGTCAACTAATACCATAAAAATAACCACTAAAAACTGTGTCTAATATCATCATCTGGCTGTAAAACGTGCTGGAATTAGTTGAACATCTGGCTGTAAAACGTGCTGGAATTAGTTGAAGAAGTTGTGACCAGCCAATAATATCACAATCAGTCTGCTGGTCTGATTTCCTGCTTAGTCTTGCCCAGGCTAAGAGCCTAGCAGCTTGTATTTGTGTTCCAAAATTCCAACAGCTCCTTCCTTGCTCCAAAACATTTCAATTGTGCTCCTTTATGCTTCATTCATATCAAATCCAACTTTTCCTCCTAGCATAAAAACAATAAATCAAAGTTAACCACTCTTTTAAGCACCAAATAACACCAAATTAACCACAAAATATAAAATAAAAAAATTGGATTTGCACGTTATCAAATTAATCTTCGATGCAACAGACTTAAGGCGTGTTTTGTCTGTGCTTTTTTTTTTTTTTTTTTTTTTTTTTTTTTTTTTTTGGTTTATTCTGGTCGTCAGTATCACTTGTGTTACTCTTATTGTTACTTTCAAATGGCCTACATAATTATTGTCATCTTTCAGCGCTTAACAAAATTTATGTGGGATCCTCTTAATCCAATGGTGATTTTATGTGATGATAAGCTTCAAGAACTCTTTGGTTGTCAAAGCCTTCCTGCATCGAGGATACCAGAAGTTATGGCAAGCTATCATATATGTAGAACACTATAGTGGCTAATAACAGTTGACTGGTTAGTAGACACAATAATTCTGTTAGTTTAAGGTTTCGTTGTTAGTTTGTTTCTCTCTGATTGCTTTCGCGTCCTTGATGAAATGTGGTACTTGTGGTTGCAGACATTTAGTATTAACACCAGTGCCATATCTGAGATGCAAAATAGCTGAGGTGGTTTCTTCTTCTAAATGTTATGGTCTTAACTGAAGATGTACATTTGGCTGATGTTAGTTAATCAGATTTACCTGCCAGTGTTGTCTTAGATAGAATGTTGATGTTAGGACTGTAGAAAACATAAAATTGTCCATATGAAGATCTCAATTCTGTACAGTTCTGAAAGGTGTATTTATTTAGTAGGATGTCTATGTGATTCCATGTTCAAAGCGCAGTGTTATTTTGAGCCCTATGTATAAGTCCTGATATATGTATAATACAGAATTCCTGTCCCCTCAAATGTATACTTTTATATACATGTTTGAAAAATATATTGTACATATTATGTATGGGGTAACTTAAACAGGTAATTATTAATTCAGAGGAGTGCTATTTACCTCATTTTCTAAGCCAAGTTAGTTGAACCATTCAACATATAAATAAAGCAATTATTGAATCGTTTACAAGACTTATATAGGTTAAAATAGTTAACTTAAAAATGTACATTGAATAATTAAATAATTGAGCTACTAAAAAATTTTGCAATTTAGAATAGAAACTTCAATATTTATATTATTCAACACTTAAAATTTAGTTTTAAAATTTTTATTGTTTAGTTTTCTAATTTTATCAAACAAATTCAATGAAGAACGTAATTTCAAGTGACAATATTTTATAATTTAAAAATGCTTATGACCATAGTACTAACTGGCAGCCAGCTACTGCTGGGATGATAAATCTCAATTCTGATGCAGGCGTGAAAGAGAATCAGGGTTATAGTGCAGGTCTAACCTTTCGTGACCATAATGGACAAGTTATGGCAGCAGCAGCTCGACGCAGGAACCTAACTCTTCCTCCGGCTGAAGCAGAAATTGAAGCATCCATTTGTGGCCTTGAGCTTGCTGCCCAGCTAAGCTTTTCCCGACTGCATTTTGAGACGGATTGTTTGGAAATCATTTCTGGTTTAAAAGCGCATACTGTTCCTGCTAGTGACTTTGGCACCCGTCTTCTGAAGCTGCGAGCTTTAATCCCTTTGTTTACTGAATTTGTGTTTTAGCCATGTTAGTAGGAAGGTCAACTCTGTTGCTCACTCTCAAATCGAAGAGGAGCTCATTTGGGTGGAAGATGTCCCACCTCAGTATTTGTCTCTTGTATTAGCTGATTTGGTGCATTGATTTATAAATTTCGTTTTTTATTATCAAAAAAAAAAAAAAAAAAGGGTGCATTGATTCTATAATTTCGTTTTTATTATTAAAAAAAAAAAAAAAAAAAGGCTTATGAATAACAGGTACCAAATGTAATAGTTATTCCATTAAATCTTTCCTTAAAATAACCACAAAAAAAAAAAAAAAAAAAAGGCTTATGAATAACAGGTACCAAATGTATATATCCATAATCTTTCCTTAAATAACCACCCAAAAACTCGAAAAGAACAGAAAAAATATGAATTAAAAACTCAAAACTTCAACATTAACATTTCAACCTTACGGCCAAAGAGACATAATATATAATAAAAGGTAGGCTTCTGACATTATAATGCACTTGTTCAGTCTTCACCTGCATATTCTGTGAATTTACAGCTCAGTAACCAAAACGAGCGAACATCTGGTCGACTAAGAAACTAACACCAGCAGCATCCTGCATAGCTCTTTTCTCAGATTGTTCAACACATAAATTTGTAACCTTTGACTTAAGCTTATACAGACACCTAGCATTCGGACCGATTGCTTTGAGGACCCCCAAATAAAGGTCTCATGTAGGTATTGTCGAACTTCTTCCAGTAGTAATGTATGGTATAAACAGGACTTTCCATTAGCATGGACAAACTCTCTGTCGCACGCTGGAAGTTGGTTGTGGCAGATTCTTCAAGTGAGAGCAATGGTAGGCGAATATCATCTTTCGGGATCTTTGTTTCCCAATTACTGTCATGGTTACTCGCATTGGGAGGAAGTATACAAGCCATTAATGGCTTTGTCAAAAAACCAAACACCTGCAATTAAAACCAATTCATCCACAAAAATTTCAATGTAAATGAACCCATGAAATGTTGGTAATGTTGCTTAGTAACATGTCAGGAACATAAGCTAAGGCGAATAAGGCACAGCTGCCGATCTTCATTTAGACTTGTGAATGTATGTTATAAAAGGAAACAATTGAAATTTTGTATTTTAACATACCAGTGTAGTGAATAGAACTATGATGATGGTACTGGTGATCATTGTAGCATAGATAGGATTCCTTATAACTCCAGCATGTGCGAACTTCACAGGCGAAGAGAAATATGATAAAGGAAAAGGTCACTTTTGATGTTGCAATAGGATTTCATGTTTTAAACCATAAAGATAATTTTTATTAAGCAAAACCACACCTGTTTATAAGCCAAAGCAATCGAGACCGCTCCTCTCATTAGCCCCGCCCACCAAATAATTATCTAAAATATACAGTAAGTTTGAAATTCATCAAATGTCAATGAACGAAAATTCCTTGCTCTTTATGTGGAAAGAATAGAGGTCACCATAGCAATCATAAAAATACTAACTTGGTGTTTGAATGTGATTGATGATGTTCTTCCTCTATTCATGAAATTGGAAAAAGCAGAGAGTGGAAAGACAAATGCAGCTCGTCCAAGCAATATTAGCAGTACTAGTGTGCCACAGATGCTCAGTGAAGTTCCAAAACTGCAAATTAGAGATTATATTACTCTCATCCTTCCTTATGTAACATAAAAAACTCAAGAGTGCCTCTATATCTAGTTTCTGCTCAAATAACAAACTACCATACATTAAACAATACAAACATCATCCAGCAAGCTATATGCAGATATAGTTAGTTCGTAAACATTCGACAACCACTAAAAATTATATCGGAGTTAGCAAGATGTTGAACTCTGAAAGCTCAAACTCAATATAGATGTGAAGTTGTACCTTATCTTACTCATCTTCCACTTCTCAATGTCAAGTGCATCCATGCCCACATAGAGAAATATGAATGTCTCTGCAACATGTGACATCATCGCAAATACGTGCCTTAAGGTAGATGAATGAAAAGTGTGAGAATGAAGTATTTAGGATAATCATCTGGGTTCATAAAGTAAGCCAGCCTTCTCCGACAAGTGAAAAACACTCACCTGGTTGTAATTCTCGAGCTTTCCGTTACATTATGCCATGCATAATGTGACATGAGAATTCCACAAAAGAAAACAGTAAGAATTCCACTTAGTCCAAGCAGCTACATTAAAAAAAAAAAAAAAAAAAAAAAAAAAAAAAAAAAAAAAAAAAAAAAAAAAAAAAAAAAAAAAAAAAAAAAAAAAGAAAAAGAAAAAAAGACGAAGCAAAGAAGCAAGAAAGAAGAAAGAGTAAGTTTAGATGTATTATACAAATCATTATTTACTTAAATTGAAACTTTTGACGCATATCGATACCTTCACGCTAACATGTAAAAAAAAAAAAAAAAAAAAAAAAAAAAAAAAAAAAAAAAGAAAAAGAAAAAAGAAGAAGAAGAAGAAGAAGAAAAGAGTAAGTTAGATTTATTATACAAATATTATTTACTTAAATGAACTTTTGAGCATATGATACCTCAGCTAACATGTAAGAGAGATACGCCATTAACACCATCAAGGCAAGTTCACGAATGCTCGAATGTCTGCATCAAAATATTAACTCGGGGTTTTATAGTTAGCCTCCACAATTTGGAAAGAAAATGTCACACTTCAATGTTCAACATTCATGAAAATACTTTTTTGGGGCAAACTGAGAAGGCATTTACCTTCCAAAGTATAAAGTTTTAAGTATATATGCTGTCACAAGTCCAGTCTGCTAGAAAAGAGAACAGTTATAAGCCATGATAGAAAATAATAAAAGCTTAAAATCCTTGATTGTACCATAAAATGCAAAGCCACTTTCTAAGATTTAGATGTCAGAACTAACAGTGACTCCCAAAGCTGTGCTTGTCAAGAACAAGTAAAAAAAATCTCCAATAACATGAAGTGTTGTCCTTGTATTAAGCCCTGTAACATCCATTTTCTGTACTGCATTGAAGAAAACAACTGATGTTGCATCATTTACAACTCCTTCCCCAAAGACCAAGCTGTATAATAAAGGAGTCTCGTCTTGATGAAGAACCTACATGAATATATGCATATTATCTTAGAATGTCCTTGAAATTAAGTTGGAGATGATGTCAAAAGGCAAAGAATATTTTCAAATTGAACCAACCTGCAGTGTGCATACTGTATCCGTTGACGAGAATATTGTTCCTAGAGCTGCAATGAGGCAAAGCAAAACCAAGAAACTTGAATATTAAACATAAACATAGTTTTTGTTTGGCATTGAGGCTGCTGGAATTGCTCAATTATTTTTGGAAAGACACCATTTCGATGTTGGAAAAAGCAATTTGCGAGTGTTGTTTATCAATCATGAATTAGCATTTATGACAAGAGCATGTGAACTTCACCTTAAAAAGATAATCCAATAACCTCTTTTTAAAATCAACATTTTCAACATAGTACAAAAAGAAACTTTCATGGTAGCATTAGTAATTACAGTAGGACCTCACCAAGATAGTCGCGTCCAGTCAGACCAAGAAATCCAAATCTTGGAAATAAAGACCTGCTGCCTAGGCCAATAGCAACATGTAGGAACTTAGCAAGCACCAAAATGAATAATTGGCTTTGGCTGGCAAACCAGTAATGAACAGAGCAGATTAAACTCACTAGCTACAAAAATGAACGCTGATATAAAAACACCAACCACACCGAACAGCATAATGGTTATAAAATTCTGGAAGAACTGCTTTTTCTTGACCTGAAATCTGATGCAAGTAAATTTATGAAGTCAAACATGAAAAGCTTTTAAACATTATGATCAAACAATGTCGAAAAAAGCTGTCTTTTTACCCTGCATTGAATATTATAGGCGGAAGGAGATATATAAAGAAAAGCTCTTCATTGAATCTCAATATATGGGAATCCTTGCCTTTGCTAAAAACCAATATAAGTATTCCAGATATGCATCCCTGACAAAAAAAAAAAGCATCAAGCACTAATAATTCTCAAACAACAGTGATAGAGAGAGAGAGGGATAGAGATTGATTACCATTATGATGGCATTGATGGACTCATTAACCCATCGGTTTTCTTCGAGCAAGTTACCGATTACCAAACATAGACACAAAACAGCGACGAATATTGTTAATGGGACGACCTGTGCATGCTCGTTTATATTCCCCATAAACTCTGTTATTCTCTCCATTTTCACTTTTCTTTTTCCACATTGATCAAGTCACTCACACAGCTCTTCGTTTTCTCGTTCCTGTCCGAGTGAAATAGAAGTGAAGTTCTCGAGGATGATGAATGACAGCGCCGGTTACTGTCGGTCCTCCTCTGTGTTTGGTTTTAGAACTCGACGCGTGGGATCAATGCTTTTTTCAGCGACACGTAACAGTGGATGTCCATTGTAGATAAATAACAGTTTGTTTAATCGGACTAGCCAATTTTTAGTTTATTTTGTATGATTTTATTAACCAGCTATTAAAAATCTTTAGAAAAGATAAAAAAATATACAATTTAATAAATATAATTATATAGTAATTTTTTTAGAAATAAATATTATCTTTTCATCTACTAGCACTACCCATATTTAAAATAATTTAATTCCACAAAAATCTAAATTCTTGTATTTATATTCCTAATTTTTTAAAATTTATTATATCGAGTATATTTATGAGATAAAAATAAATAAATTTTTTATTTAAAATTTATTTTAAATATTAAAAATTCATTTGAATTCATTTATATCAAAAGGCTAGCTACATTTTATGTCAATAATATTAGCAATAAATATAATATTATAATATCATTCAGTAAAAGTAAAGATCGCAGAACCAAAATCCAGTGTCAATGACATACTTGCGAAGCAGGTAATGCAATTGGTGTTTGAAAAAAATAATTATAAACTGAAATGAAATTAAGAAGAGAAGAAATAAATAATTTTTTATTTTTTTTATTTGGATGTCTAAGTCTTTATCATATGTTAGCTTTTTTCACCATTTGGATTTTTTTATGCGAAAGATGGTGTGTGTGTGTGTGTATATATATATACACATAGAAGATTATCTGTGAATAATGACGTTATTAAAAAATTTTAAATTCAAATAAAAATTTTTAAAGATTAATATTTAAATTTAATTAATAATCGTCATACTTAAATTTAAATTTATTATTAAATCTAACATATCTAACCAGAGATTTTTTTTTTTTTTTTTTTTTTTTATTATATACTATACACACTTAGAAGATTATTTCTGTGAATAATGACGTTATTACAAAAATTTAATTCAAATAAAAAATTTTTAACAGATTAATATTAAAATTTAACTTAAATCGTCATACCTATAAATTTAAATTTATTATTAAAATCTAACATCACTCCTAACCAGGATTTTTTTTTTTTTTTTTTCTTTCTTGAGGAAATCATCTAACAAGTTAATTTTTTTTTTTTTTTTTTTTTGAGGAAATATCTAACCAGAGTTAAAACCATTGAAAAAGGAAAACTTCACCAGAACTTTGTCGTTTGGGCTTGTTTGGAGAAAACTGGATTTTATAGGCCTTCTTGTCTAACCCAAGGAAGAGCAAACTCCTGATCCAGATTTTTAACATGGACCCAGAAAACTCCTTTTAACTTGGCACATTTATTTCAAAATTAAATTGATAGACCTATAGGTATGACATGGATTCTGAGTACATAGTATTTTTAAACATTCGGAAATGAGCGCTTTATCCCTTTGTGAGTATGTTCGGTGTAAATCTGAATTAGTCGTACTAATGGACTTCAGATATTATATTATTAAAATAATAAAAAAATTGAATTGGTAGAATTAAATGAAGTTATTTTATTTCAATATTTCAAACATAAAAAAAAAAAGCAAAATGTGAAATATAAAATGAATTCATAAAAATCTATAGAATTTATTTGTTCCAAATAGTGTGTGTACGTGTGAATTTAAATGAATTAATGAGTCATTTGACATGTTGCTGTCCCATTACTGAAAAGTACCAAACATTTAATGTTTTGTGAAGAACCTCGATTTTGTACCTACATAGTATAATGAGTATATTTGGTCCACATATTTTCATAATTTGTCACTCTCACAAATATATAGTTTCCTGTTTTGCTTGCACCACTTGTGTTTTTATTTATGGCTATATATCAATTTTGTCATTCAGTTTTTTCCCTTTTGGCGATGAAATCACATGCATGAGTTGTTATATATATTCTTGAAAGAAAAAAAAAAAAAAAAAAAAAAAAAATTCTTGAAAAGAAAAAAAAAAAAAAAAAAAAAAAAAAAACGAAAAAGGAACTAACATCAACCTCCCTAAAGTTTTGAATCAAACTATAAACCTTTAAAAGGCTGAGCATTTAAATATTAAACTCCATATTGCTAGAGTTTGAAACTCCGAGACCTCTACATCAACCTAAGAAAAAGAATCTCCTGTTCATTTTATCTCATCCATTTAAATTGTAAACTATATAATACTACTTTTGTCTAAATCATTTCAAATCTGCAATCTCATTATCCACTTTTTTATTGTGACAATAAAAACTGAACAACTTTCTCTTTCTTTTTTTTCTTTTTTTTTTTTTATCTTTTGAGAATGGAAAAAAGTTCCAAAACAAACCTAAACATTAGATTTGACCAAAATTATCGGAAGGATAGAGAAACTTTTCGTTGAAAAACACAAGGGAACAGACAAAGACCGTGCAAAAGAGGAAAAAAAACAAGATAAAGCAAAAAAAACATGCTTTATTTAAGGAAACAATTATAAAAATAAAATAAAATCTACATTTTTACTTCTTCTTTTTTTTTCTTATTTCCAACATCGATTGCATTCTACATTTTGTAAAGCAAATCACCTCCTTCCATCTTAGATGGAAATGTCTACTTTTTTTTTTTTTTTCTTATTTCCAACATCGATTGCATTTACATTTTGTAAGCTAAATCACCTCTTCATTTTAGATGGAAATGTCTACAAATATCAACGATCGACTTAAAATCTAATATTGGGGAATACAAAAGAAATTTTCATAATTTTTTTTTTTTTTTTTTAGAAAAATCAAACTAAAATTTTCATTAATCGTAAACTGTATATAAATATGGGATATAGATTAGTATGTTTGTTATATTTTTGCACATGAAGTCTAATAATAAATCATTTATACAAAGGATAGAAAAATACAATACTGATTTGAAGTATCTCATTGAGTTAATAGAATATAATATTTGTGTCATAAACGATCGTTTGCTCCACTTAGTGGCTATTCATGGTCACTGTTCAACTCTATAGTTTTCTACAAGTCCAATCTGATTATTTTTAAATTATTCCTTTTATTTGAGAGGAATTCTGTATTTCTTTCTACTTAACTGTCAAAATAATAAAAGACATTAGACAAAATTACTATTAGGGGATGCTAAATTGAAAAAAAATATATATTATCATAAAAGAATTAAAAAAAAAAAACTTAACGGGCAACATATCCCACCAGTCGCTCTTGTTTTTTTAATAAAATTTTTAAATAATAAATAAATACATAATTGGGGCATTCTAAGAATTAAACTCATAACCTTTGGCACCTCAAAACGAGAAGCTTACCACTGGACTAAATGCCGAAAACCATATTTATTTCTATATATAATCTTATAAATTTGATTGAATACAAATAAAGAACAACATCAATATAATATTGTAAACCACGAATTTTATGTTTTAACATCAAGTGAAAATTAAAATTTCATAGCAATATATAACTTACTCAAATACATACAAAGCAATATCTTTTCTTGAAATCTTTTTACCTTGTGTTGAGAAATATTTTTTGAACCAATTTATATCCGTCAAACTAAATATCTTTATATGAGGATTTTAAAGACATAGTTTTCTATATTAATTTGATATATTAATGATATTTAAGTCAACATAAATATATAATATATTTAATTTAAATATAATATCCAAAAAAAAAGTCAGAAATTAGAAAATGAGAGGATTGACAAGAGGAGCACAGAAACAAATATACCTTCAGCCTAATATTAATATTATAAAATAAATATAATAAGTTCATTTCCTTCAAATGATTCCTTCAAGTTCCAACGTGGCTCCTGCACCTAAAGGACTTTATATTGATATTTTATTAAATTCAATTAAATATATATATATTCTCATTTTATATATGAATCTAGTCATGGGTTAATTAATTAATTTATCTTCCATTTCACAAATGGAAAAACAAAACCATCCGACTTGGTGGCTGGTGGTAAAGGTCTTGTGATCCGCTTGCTTGATCAGAGTTTGATTCTTCGTGAGCACGTCTCGTTATACATGATGTCTAAATATTGACTTTGCTGTCGAAGAGCTTCACACATTTGAAGAAGGCTTTTTCAGGCTGGGCTATTGTTTGTTATCGTGAATTGAGAACTGCAATGTCATGATGATGCAAGAAGGAGGCAGGGTCTCCCACCAGTGCTTAGAGGATCGGTGTGCCCTATGAAGTGTGAGTGTCTTAAATTGGCACGTCAACACTTGATAGGTAGGCCAAATCGACGGAGACAATGACTAACAAATACGGTAGTCCTTTGTTTTCTTAAAAAAAAATGAAAAAAAAATGCGCACCACCTAATGGTTTATGACTTTATGTAACCTGCAAACTACTCTAAAATGTGAAATCCAATTGATCTGTGTATCTCCATCATTCCTCTTATAATGCTGGACTATGAAGTCACTATATATATATATATATATATATGCCAAAACTACTCTAAAATGTGAATCCACATTCGATCTGTGTATCTCCATCCATTCCTCTTATAATTGCCTGCGACTATGAAGTCACTATATATATATATATATATATATATATTATATACACACAAAATAAATATATATATATATACACACAAAAATAAAAGTTTTTACATAATGATAAAAGTTCTTTTTAAGAAAAAAAAAAAAAGAGATGGAGTACAAAATGCACAAGAAAAAAATAAAAAAAAATACAAAAAATGGAGATGAGTGGCGGATTTAAAAAAAAAATTAGGGTCAATATAATAAACTACAATAAAAAAGGTTTAGTCCTAATTTAAAAAAGATTAATTCAGAAAAATATATTTGTATCTGCACAGAATAAAAAAGGTTTGGTCAATATAAATTGTGTGTTTTTAGATTCATTCCAATGCATAAGTTATTAACTAAAAATATATTAAACCTCAAAAAAAAAAAAAAAAAACTACACATTTTTCCATCAGGAGTTCTAACAACGTAAAAAAATCCAAAGTCAGCGGGAACAATTTAATGAGAAATCATTTGTGTATATTAAAATTAAAAAAAAAAAAAAAAAGTACTACTAACATTTTTCCATCAGGAGTTCTAAAACGTAAA